AATTCTGGGAGTTGAAGTCCACCCATCTTCAAGTGGCCAAGGTTGAGAAACACTGCTTTAGGCTCACACTCAGCTTGCCAGGTAAAGCACCCCACTTCAGATTGGTGGAAACGGGACCCCAGGATTTCTCTCTGTAGCGAGGGGGCAGAACTGAGGTGCCCCCTTCCCACCCCCACCTGATTTCTCCTGTCCCTCTGACTGCACAGTCCCGAAAGGAGCAAGGGACCGGGATCCTCCACATTAGTCACGCCACCCGCTCCTCCACTCAATACAGTGCTTCAAACAAATGGCCGTCATCCTCATCCTCATCCTCATCCTCCCCAAACTTGCCCAGGGCTGTCATTATATTCAGGCCCTGCAATGAAAAGGAATGGGGCAGAGCTGGGCCAGGGAAGCATAAACCCTCTAGTTAAACAGATAGTCCCAGCACCGGAGTGAAGAACAACTCGTTCCAATGAAATAGCCAGTTCACGACGCAATTAAGAGGCTGCTGGGGATAACTGCTTAAAGGAGCTGCAGAGGGGTGTGCCTGCTCTCCCGGGGAGGGGGCTTCTCTGCTTCTGAAGGTCACTCCCCACCTTCCCCCACCGCACCCTGGCTGTGGGGGAGACAGGTATCCTTTGGAGAAGGACCTGTGGAACACGAGAAGCCCATTAAAGCAGCTGTGTCTTTTGTCCAGGAAGAGCAGCTGCATGAAGCTGGAAAAAGACATGGCTGCTTTAAAAATCCCAAAGGTGGGGGGGGGGGTCTTTTTTGCTCTGTCTTTCACAGAATTGGCACAGCCCCACTGGTGGATCCCAGTTCTTCCCTGGCCAACCCTGGATGATTTAAAAAAATTCGGCAGAGTTACAGCGGGTTTGTCCTTGGATGGGAGACCACTAGGAAATCCCAATTTATACTGGTAAATTGAAAAAAAAAATCTCAGAAGAGGACTATAGCCACATACTCCATATTTTTGTCAAGAAAACTCTCTGGATATGTCCATGAAGTCACACAAACACAATTTGAAGATGACTTCTTTAAAAAAAAAAATCTTCCTGGAGCATAATTCTGTGTCATTTCTTGGCCTTCCAGTGGAAGGGAAATTCACCTTCCAATCATCCCATCTCATGTCCTGAGCAATCTGAGCAGTTTACTTGGGTCAATCCAGAAAATAAATGCAATGAGAGATTTAAAACCCCCAACAGTTATGTGCGTAATACTAAGGACCTAAAGTTTCCAATCACCCAGCATGTAACCTTGGTAGGTACATTGTGGTTCATTGCTTTTCTGGGAACCTATCCTGGCTGGGTAATTTAGGGTTTAAAAGCCAAAAAATCTGAAAGCGGGAGCCAAACTAAGCATTGAACCAACGCAGGCTACTTGGAAGAGCTGGGGTGCAAACAGCTGATGCTCCATTTTCCAGTGAAGTCAGACAAGTCCTCCTTGCTCAAAAGGACTCCTTCCAGATGTGCTGGAGCTACAAAGTCTAAGCCCCACACCCCTCGGCCAGGGCAGCTGGGAATTCCGAGAAGGGCCGTTGGGATGTATCTGAAAGGCTGAAGACCAGAAGAAATCGTCTTCGGGTTTCGGCATGAAATTCTGATGCACCAGCTTTCTAAGCAGATCTTGGAAGGTCTGGGAACAGCGGACCATGCAAAACAGCTTTGTAGCAGGAAATGCAGCATGAGGGGCGGCTGCAGAAGGACTCCTTCCCCCTCCCTCCTCACCCCCTTCACAGGTACCCATTGGACACTCTCCTGCTCCTTGCCTCTGGGGGGATCTTCTGCAGGAAGAAAAGAAGGTGGAGAAAACAGGAGCTGTCACCAGAAACCAGTGATAATGTACTCTGGAACATTCTGCCAACTGACCGTGTTGTTTACACTGGTAGCATCCAAGAGGTCAATGTTCTTCTTAAAATTGCAAACCAGCATTGAGGAGAGAATCCAAAGCACTCCAAGGGTATGCTGGCTGCTGAGGGAGAGGCAATCTGGAGTTCAAACAGCTCCCCTCCCCTGGTCTCTCCAGGGGGACAATACAGGACTCACAAGCTCACCATCCACAGAGCCAAGGTGGGAAAAAGCCAACGGGTCCGTTCAACCCCACTAACCACTGAAGCATTGATCTTGATCCCTTCTGGGTCCAAAAAGGGCGCTTTGAGCTTGGTGGGCCTCCTTCCATTTCCCAGACTTTCTGTTGGGAAAGGGAGACCCTATGTCACCTTCAATGTAGGCCAGGTCAGGAAAGAGACACCACAAGGATTACTGGAATCCCTGTCAGATTTTCAAGATTCTGTTATTATACCCTTTAATGTTAAAGGGTATAATAACAGAATCTCGAAAGCCTGCCAGATTCTCTCTCATACCCATGAGCATCAAGGAGGTGCAATCTTGAGTTTCTTTCTCACTCACTCCTCCCTTTCAGGGTTAAGTAGGTGCTTTCCTAAGGGTTGAATTCCATCCTCAAGGCTACCTCCGTACTCTTCTGCACCCCACTGTCCATGAGTCTCCCTTTGCCAACAGAAAGGAAAGCTTCACCAGCCAGCCTCAGCACTTTCTAGGTGGTCTCGGTTTTCTGTGCATTATTGGGCTGGAGAAAGAGAAGGGCCTAGAAAAGGCACTCAGCTGTAGAAAGAAGGCACCAAGGCAGGCAGAGGGATCTGAGGAAGAGCTGGCCCAGGACCCTGGAGAGTTCCCACTGGACCTCCAAGCGTGGCCACAGGAGGAAAAGTCTACCCACAACACCTTGTTGAGCAACTGCAACTCCACGATGGGGCATGGTTCTCCCAGCAAAGGAGGTTCTCCAGCTGCATGCAATGTTGTCAGTTGAGTCAGACTACAATATCCATAAATCCCAGCCAATGGCTAACAAACAGAGCCCCGTTCACTCTTCCTTCTAGTCTTCTCTGGGCAGCAGGCTGATGGGAAAAGAAACGATTGCACGGAGCCATTTTGCACCAGACTCATTAAGGGAAGTGCAAGATGTGTTCTTTTGGCTCTGCTGCTTTGGGCAATCCTCCCATTTTCCAAAGGAAGCCTGCTGTCCCCCTTTAACGACTGCTCACTAATTGTCCTTCTGTGCTCCTGGACTCAAAAGCAACCTTTTTATGATATCCAAGGATTGTATCAATATATCTTTACTTTCCCCTTTAATCTCCTCTTTATCAACTCTTTCATTTTAAAGAAATGTTCACTTTAGAAGCCAAGACCAACTGCGCTAGACATTTCTGTCAATTTTCCAATTAGATAAATTAAATTTGATCGCTGTTTCCAGTTTGTTCAATAACATTTCTTTCTTGCATTACGTTCCGGGCAACACTTCAGATAAAGCCCCAAAGGTACTGCTTTCGATGGCCAACGTTTCCAGGGAACCATCGCTGAGGGAACCTCAACATTTTATCTCATTACTTTAAAATGTAGCACACTACCTGGGGATAACTGAAGTTACCCACTTGTGCAAGACTTTCTCCATTATTTCATCTCCCATTTCGAGATTACCCTGAGCAACACCACGTTCTCATTGTCCAGCAATTTTATCGAAGACTCTGACCCTCCTGATGCTTCCAATTTGTCTGATGCACAGAAAGATACCATCTCCACCGCTCAGGTTCCCCCCTTCCTTGTCCTCCCCATAGAACATTTCTGCAGAAAAGCCCAGCGCCTTCTTTTCCTTGGGCTGCTTCTGAGTTTATAATATGAATCCCAGGAATCCCTGGAGTGACCAATTGTGATTCTTTGTAGGAAGAGAGCCGTGCTAGGGTACAGCAGCAAAAAATCAGAAGCTGTGTGGTAGCAGCATAAAAGCTGATGCCTTTTAATAAAATTTGTTAGTTGGAAACGGGGTTACCAGAATCCCTCCATGGGTATGAGGAGGGAGAGGGTTATGCCCAACTGGGCATCAGGCTTGGCTTGGTCTCTGCCTTCGCACTGTTTCCTCCAAGGTGGACACTCTTCCCTGTCGTCCAAGCCAACAGCGTCATCGGCCTCTGATTGGCTGGCAGGGCAGGAAGTGCTGAGAGCAGTTGAGCTGGAAGAGCCCACCTTGCCTCATCTGTGACATCCCGAGCATTGTCCTTCCAGAAGGCAGAACACCGTGCGCATTGGAGCAGCAGGGCCTCGGCCAGAACTGCAGAAGAGGAAACGCTCCAGCCCTTGGAAACGAGGGGAGCAGAGGCGGTTTCTACAGGCCAAAACAGGAGGCTTTCCACACTGAGCACGCCAACTAAAAGGGCGCAAGGGTCCAGGCTATGCTACGCAATCACAAAGCTGAAAGCTTTTACCCACTCATCCAGAAGAATACACGAACACGTTCTGATCCGTAAACTGCCCTGGAGAAGCACGCAGGTGCAACATCATAGTTTAGTTCAGCTGTTTCTAACCCAGGCAACTTCCAGCTGGGTGGACTTCGACTCTCAGGATCCCCCAACCCCAACCCTAACTCTAGCCGTTGGGGAGAGTTCTGGGAGCTGAAGTCCACACGCTTTGAAGTGGCCCAAGACTACCCTACCCTAGTTGAATGTGCAAGTTGCCATGACACCCATGCAAAATATGACGCCTGGTTTGCACACTTGGGCAGATGCCGAAGTTCCAAGAAGCAGCGAGGCAGCTTTTAGCAAGAAACAGACAGCCATTTGCAGGAGCACCTTTTTCAGGAAAAGCGGTGCTAATCGTAATTTGCATTTGCATCCTATGCCCCACCGCAGACAATGAGAGCTCCCGTAAGGGGATGAAATCCACCATCCTACAGATTCCTGTGTCACAGTGCGCAAAGCTTTTCCCAGGCATCTGCAGGAGGAAAAAGTAGATCTTTGTTGTGTTTGAGAGAGCAGCTCGGATGGCGAGCATAAGAGGCAGCATCTTCTCAATACAGGGAGTCCTCGTTTAGCGACCACAAGGGGGACCGGTAACTCCGCTGCTAAGCGAAGCGGCTGCTAAGTGGGAAATTGCGTGACTGCGACGGGGCTTTCTGGCTGGAAAGTGACAAAACTACTGTAATCAGTTTCACAGCTTTGGCTTTTGTCTGCCTCCTACCCACCCACCCCGCCCTTTGGAATGCTGGGATAATTAACAAGGAGGGAATTACTGTCTGTGTTTACATTCATTAGAGAGGAAGGGATTACAAATGAGTAAGCAGGCACACAATGGGGATACACACCAAAAGCAATGCGCTGGTGCCAGAGCTGTGAGTGTGCTACGTAAACAGCCAGCGTATGCCCCATTGTCTGCCTGCTTGCTCTCTGGTACAGGTAGTCCTCGGTTAACGATGGCATTAGGACCGGAATTTCCACTGTAAAGCATAGCAGTCCCTGCGCTCCCCGTTGCCGTCATTAAGCGAGGTTCACAGGTCATTAAGCGAGGCCTTCCTCACAATTTCTTGCCGGCTTCCAACAACCAAAGCCAGTGGGGAAACCAGCAGGAAGTTGCAAGTCCCAAGTGGCTCGCAAGCAGGCCAGCAGGCAGGTAAGTGGCTGCTGCCAGGTGCAGGAGGGACCAGCACATTGTTTTCAATTGTAATCTCTTGCAATCCCCTCCCCTCCAATCTCTCTGCTCAGCGAGGGAGGAAGACAGAAAACCCACAGATGAGGCACAGGACAACGCATATTGACTGCAATGGCAATCGTGTAACTGAGGGACGCTGCGAAGGTCGAAAATGGTCGTAAATTGGCCGTACAGCTAGTTTTTCAGCACCGTCGTAACTTGAAACGGTCACTGAATGAGCTGTCAGTAAACAAGGACAACATGTAATGCTCTTATATCTCTGTACTAACTTCTTAGTTAGGCCTCTAAGGTGCCCACTTCCAGCACCGCTCTAACGCATCTCCCTTCTTCAGGGGAATCCGCACCGCCTCTGCACTGACAAGAGATCATCAGCACCCCTCACGGATGTTTTTCATGGCATCAAGGGGTGAGGGAGACCTTAGGGATCACCCATCCAGCCTTCCACAATGTGGGGCCCTCCAGGACTTTGGGGATGGCAACTGTCAGAATTACCCACCCAACATGAAGACTGGGAATGTGAGGAGTTGCATTCCAAAACATCTAGAGCAGCATTTCTCAACCTTGGGAACTTCAAGACGTGTGGACTTGGCTGGCTGGGGAATTCTGGGAGTTGAAGTCCACGCGTCTTAAAGCTGCCAAGGTTGAGAAACACTGTTTTAGACTGAGCCAAGACCAAGCACCCGAGAGAACTTGCCGCTCTGACAAGTGAGCCAACCACAGGCACACAGAAAGAGCCACTCTTATGAACCATCGAAGAGGAACATCCAAAGGTGAAAGAAAGAACAGACAGCCTTGAATACGTTCTCCCTCCTCACACACCTATTGACCCGCGCCCAGGTCAGCGAGAAGCACCACCCAACTGCTGCAGTGAGCGCCAGGCAAAGCGAAGGCCGATCCGTGAAGAAACAGCGCCATCCATCAACGCTTCCTGCCCAAAGCCACCCACGGCTGGTAGGACAAGCGGCTACATCTCAACAGCCACCGTGTCAGAGCACTGAGGAGGCTATTATATTATTGTTATTATTGTTTAAATGTATGTGGCCTCCCAGCTCACATATGTGGCTCTAGACTGGTCATGAAATGTCCAAAGGCAGAAAACCAGGCTCAAACAGCCACTCAGCCTGAGCTAGAGATCTTCTCCCCACTATTCCAATCTCTCCTTCAAACTGAATGAAAACTGGTAGCCAGGGGGGAAAGGAGAATTTTGCTATCTCTGTTGGCTGTGTTCACACAACACCTGTGACCAGGTCAGCGAAAGGTCTGCTGCTTAGTCTTCTGGAGGCTCAACTCAGCCCTTTGAATAATCTTTGGTTCTACGGGCTCATTCGGTACCCAGGTTCAGTGTGCTGTGTGAATGCAGCCCCACCCTGCTCTGCACAGGCCGAAATCTGTGGCTCACTCACCAGAGGTGCTGACGAGCAGGTCAGGCGCGTGGAGGCAGAGAGCGAGCAGGACAACGTGGTGGACCTTCATCCTGTACAGAAAACAAGAATAGACAGGTGTGTAGAGCATTTGTCCAGAGACTTTGCCATCCCTCGTTCCTTGTGGCTGTGTACAAACTGAACATGCAGCAGACATGAGGTCTCTTGCAAGGCCAGCCAGATATCCACCCCAAGTCCAACGTGGAAAAGGGGATGGGGGGAGGAGGGGGAGGAGAAGGAGAAGGAGAAGAAGGAGAAGGAGAAGGAGAAGGAGAAGGAGAAGGAGAAGGAGAAGGAGAAGAAGGAGGGAATGCCAGCAAGAGAGATTCAGGAGCAGGGGATCGGGGCCTCTCCCCGTGGGGTGAGTCCTTAGGAAACCTCCTTGTTGTTCCTCAATCCTTCCTAGACTTTGCAGGTATGGCCTGATTCCCACCTGAGCCTTCCTTCCTTCCTTATTTGTCTCACTGGGAGCGCTTTTGCAAAGATATCCACCGTCCCCTTAGCAAAGCCCAGCACAACACTCAAAAACAAAGCCAGCACTGTAAAATACGAACACCACCAGCGAAGGACTTAAACGCCAACAGAACTGCCACAAATGCCGTAGCGGAGGGAGCAAACTTAAGCGCCCCTCGGCCCGAGAGTCCTGCCCCAGCGTCGCCATCCCAGGCCCAGCTTTCCCAGTCTGGAAACACGGCCCCACCTCGCTGCCTCCTGTGGAGCTACCCCCGTGTCCTTCCCGTTTCCCGGGCCGAAATTATGCCCAGAGGGCGAGCCACAGCCAGAGCCAGAGCCAGGCGGTGCCTGAGTCGAAACCGCAAGCCCTGACGGGGGAAGCAGGCCACTGATGCTGATGCGGAGGGTGCTGGGCGAAACCCACCAACTGCCAGGTCTGCAAGAGCGCTGCGTTAAACGAGGGGCAGGCTGGGCACCCTGCTTCAAAGCTTAATCGTAACTCTCCCTCACTTCATTCAGCCAGGGGTAGTGACGCAACATTTCTGAATTTGTTTTTAAGCAGCAGAAAAACAACCCACCCACCCTGGGGGCATTTTTTTGTCCTCTTTGGGGAAAACCCAAGGAAACGCTACCAAAAGATACGCAATCCTCATTTTAGCATTCTTTACAGATACCCAAAGGGAAGGGGTTTATTAGATATACAGTACGGTGTATAATTTGGATTGCTCATAAGAGTACATGTTGGGGAGGGGGGTGGGAAACTGAAAAACGTTGCTCGTTCAGGCAATGCCCCGATAGATTGAATTTACTCGGGAATGTTTTACGTATTGTTGGAAGCAATAAGCCGTTGAATTTCAAGGAGGGTCGCCTATTTTCATCTTGTCTAGGAAGAGCAGGCAGGCCGGAAGGGTTGCCGACAGAAGAAATCATCAGCGTGGTCGTAAAATTTATAAGGGTGTCTATTCTGGACTTCCTCTTCTCCTATATTGTGTAGCTGGAGAAGCGCACGCATTCTGAAAAAAGGCTGAGAGGAGGCTGAGCGTACCCATTTTGCGACGGGAAGGCTGTTTGTCCATGTGACGCGTTACTGAATTAACCCACTGTCTGGGTTTACATGAGAGAATCACAAAAGCAGACAGAGCTGAAACAGACCTTAGAGGGCAACTAGTCCAGGGTTTCTCAACCTTGGCAGCTTTCAGACGGGTGGACTTCAACTCAAGCTGGCTGGGGAATTCTGGGAGTTGAAGTCCACCCGTCTGAAAGCTGCCAAGGTTGAAAAGCCCTGGATGAGTCCAACCCCCTGCTCAGCACAGGCTCCACCGGAGCATCTCTGACCGACCAAAATCCAGCCATCAAGAGGTTCCTCCCAATCTCTACCCTGAAGCTTCTTCCCTGTAGCGTGTGGCCCTCCGCGGCTGCCCTCGGTTGCCCAGAACAGAGTGATAAAACCATGTCGTGATTAAAATGTTTAAACTACCTCGTATCCAAAGCGCTCCGAGCTGTGGACAATAAAACACACTAAAAAACGCCATTCCAAGAAAAGCGGATACGGTAACATCAAATCAAATGTAAAATAAAGACACTATATAAGCGAGTCCATGGCCAAACAGGCATTCAGAAACTAAGACCATGTGAATTAAAATACACTCCGACTGTTGACCGGGAAGGGACCTCGGAGTCATCTAGTCCAGCCTCTGCCTGGCGGAGGCTCTGCTGAAACTTTTCGGATGGCCAACCAGCCTGTTTCAAGGCCTCCTGGAAGGGCTGCGCAGCGCTTCCCGAGGCTGCTACTCCATGGCTAACATCGGGGAATCCCTCCAAATATCACACCTGGATCTCCTTTCCTGTAGTTTCAGCCCCCTGGTTCTATTCTTTTGGGAGCCATCGAGAACAAACCCATTGCTTCTTTGGGTCCACCTTCAGATGCCGGAAGGCTGCTTCAATACCCCTCTCCGTCTTTTTTTCTGGAACTTGAACATTCCCAGATCCTTTCCGTCCCTGCTCTGAACTTGCTCCCCATTGTCGCTGGCCTTCCTGAACTGGACGCAGGTCTCCAGAGGCAGAGTCACGTCGCCAGGAGTCGGGTGGTATACGTGCTTAATAAATAAATATATAAATAAATACCCACGGCTTCCCCAGATCGGCTGCGCTCCTGCTAATGCACCGTGAGATGGGGTTGGCCTTTTTAGCAGCGGCGTCACACTGCTGACTCACGTTTCCCGTGTGGCAGACTAGGATGACCTTTTGCTTGTCTTTCTGCCAAGCTGGGTCTCCCCATCCTAGATTTGTGCCACCGCACGCATACAGATGCTTCCCCTTCTTGTCCCCACCAGCCCATGGGGGGAATTTTCCCCATTTCCCCCCTTAAGCCAGAGAGAGGAGGCGAGATTAACTTTCTGAACACCAAGCTCAACCAGCTCCAGGAAGGGGGCTACAGAGGCCTTGGCCCAGCTCGGCTCCTCCGCAGCGGGAGGCGTTTCCCTCCGGGGACTGAGCATGTTGTCTGAACCCAGCCTGCTTGACGCAACGTCCCGGGCCAGGGCAGAAGGTGGACTAACTCAGTCGCCCCCGCCTGCCTGCGGACGCCCACGGGCTGATGCTGGGCGGGGGCTCCAGCTGGGTCTCTGCTGCGCAACCGCCCGGATGTTTTGCTCCAGGATTTCCTTCCGGAGCTGACAGCTCCAGCAAGGGAACGGCCCGGGTTGCACATCCGACACTCTCTTCCAGAGCGCTCCGTGTGAAAGACGCCCCTGTCGGCCCTGCAGCCCCCAGACTCTCTAACGAGCTCCATCTTCCCTTGATGCCGGCAGCTCATTAAGGGAGGGAGGGAGGGGGGGAGGGGGGCAAGCAGCGCAGCGCAGCCTGCCTCTGCCGAAAGACCAGGGCAGCTCTGCTCAACGCCTGC